GTAACTCTGGGTTTTGTGGGACCCACAGGAGCCTCCCAGCTCGGGGTGAGCTGCAGGACAGACAGAGAATGCTCTCCCCTCAGCACACAGTGCCACAGAACAGCTCCCTGAGGGGGATTATCCTGCAGGAGTGACTCCTGTCYGTGTGTCCACAGGGCGTGTTGGAGAGCTTCCTGGGCACGGCTGTCACCGGTGCCATATTCTGCCTTTTGGCTGGTCAGCCCCTCACCATCCTGAGCAGCACAGGGCCTGTCCTGGTCTTTGAGAGGCTCCTCTTCAACTTCAGCAAGTGAGTATGTGGGGAGAGAGGGCGGAGGGCAGGAATGTCCCACACAAAGGAAGCCACAGCCAGGGAATGAACTGCCTGCTGCTGGGGAACGAGGGGATTTAGTGCACAAAATGAAACGTTTTGTTCCTTGTGSAGATCCGGTGCAATCACATCGGGGATTTTCTCGGCACGCATGTCCCGGGGCGCTGCCTGCTGTGTGGCTGCCTATCTCTGGGAGAGAGTTTTGCTCCTGGAAAAAAACCCTTGTCCACTTCAGTGCTCCCTGAGGAATTTGCTCTAGTTACARTGTGCTGCTTCTCCCAATCACTACTTCCCTAAAGAAATTAATCCAGCTCTTCACTAACAAAATCCCATGGGTCTCAAGGCTGCCAAAAATTTGTCCTTAAATCAGCAGTCATTTGAAATAATCACTATTATTTATGAAAGCAAAAGTGTCTGTGTTAGAAACAGCCCCCAGAATTCTGTGGTGGGGCTTTCTTGCATTTAAAGGCACTTGGTTTTTTTCCATTTGACTGGTATAAAGAGGTTCTTCTCCTTTTATGCTGTTGACAGCTGACACCCAGAGCTAAAGGGAGCCCATTTTGTTAGGTGTGCTCATTTACCATTCCCACATCTGCACCACCAGAAAAATACACCAGAATCCCTAAAGCCATCAGCAGTATGGATGAATTTACTCGTGGGGCTGGTGATCCTTTGGCTGGTGTTTTGCAAGGAGATMATTTTAAGTTCCACAGAATACACCCCCAATCCCTTGCAGACCATGTTCTCAGCATGGCAGTTTGTCCAGGACTTGTGTTCCTACATGAGGAAGGGATGGGGGCTAGAAAAAATGGTTGGAGAATTAGATGAGCTGCCAAAAGGCAAGAGTTCTGCAGTGGAGCAAGAGGAGGGCACCCTTCTTTTCTTCCTTCATCTGGAATAAATGAACAGAGTTGGGAATGGACACGCTGCACCTCTTGGCATCTGACGGGCTTGACAAAGCCCAGGTGCAGTGTGTAGCAGGAAAAAAGCAAGATGGAAAAGCACTTTGTACTGTTCTGGGAGGGAGGACGTGGTTATTTTTAAGCTGAGGAGGAGGTGGTGGTTGTAAAAGCCATTGTCCTACCACCCTGCCAGAGCAGAAAGGCAGGAGTTTTCAAAGGAGGCCTTTCTTACAAGGAAGTTGGAACCAAGTACTTTGATTTTTCAGTAATGCATTTGTGGTTGATCATATTCACAGCATGCTGTTCCCTGCTAGGAGCAAAATTAGAAAAACTTCSCATCCCCTGACTCATTTAAAGTGTGACTCTGTGTGTGTSTGTGTGAAGAGATCCCTAAAAGCCCCTTGCAGACCCAGCAATSCCTCTGGCCTCGGGTGCTCTGTGGTGCTGGCACTGGGACCAATCCTACAGGACACTGTGCTTCCCAGCCTGCCATTCCTGGCACCAGGGCTTGTCACAGAATCATAGAATATCCCAGGTTGGAAAGGACCCAAAAGGATCAGCAAGTCCAACTCTCTGTACCTGGCAGGACCACCTAAAACTAAATCATATGACTAAGAGCACTGTCCAGATGCCCCTTGAACTCCATCAGGTTAGGTGCCATGATGACTTCCCTGGGGAGACTGTTCCAGTGCCCAGCCACCCTCTGGCAGAAGATCTTTCCTTTAAATTCAATCTCACTCGGCATCATTCCATGTAGCATCTGTACTTCCTGATCTTCTCCAAGCCAATGTTTTCCTTTCTCACCACCCTTGCCTTGTTGCAGGGACAATGATTTTGACTACCTGGAGTTCCGCCTCTGGATCGGCCTCTGGTCAGCCTTCCAGTGTCTGGTTCTCGTGGCCACCGACGCCAGCTTCCTGGTCAAGTACTTCACCCGCTTCACCGAAGAAGGATTTTCCTCCCTCATCAGCTTCATCTTCATTTATGATGCTTTCAAGAAGATGATCAAGCTGGCAGATCATTATCCCATCAACTCCCAGTTCAAGGTGGACTACATCACGCATTACTCTTGTGCCTGTAAACCACTAGATCCAGGTAAGGGAGTGTTTCATTACCTGTCCAGTTTGGTAGGAGGTGGCCTTTGTTCTCTTTTTCCTTTGTACTGCAGCCCAGGTAATAGGTAGATTATTCCTTCTTTATCAGTTGTCTTCTGTGGTGTGTGTGGAAAGCATCCTTTTATGCTTTCCTKCCTTGTATATCCCAGWAGGGGACAGCCATTTGTGACAATGGTGGGAATAGAGGACACGGATTTCTTGTTGATTCAAAGAAATCCTACCTCTCCGTTTATTTTCGAAAGCCTTTACTTTACTTTACTTTACTTTTTACTTTACTTTACTTTACTTTACTTTACTTTACTTTACTTTACTTTACTTTACTTTACTTTACTTTCGAAAGCCTTTACTTTTAAAAGTATTTATTAGGTCTCGACTCCTGTGTTCCCCAGGGATATATTTCCTCCCATTTCTTCTACCCCACTGCTCACATTAGAGAGGACATCCACACGATGCTGAGCTTCTTATCCGAGCTTTTCTTTCTCCTGYTGTTCAGTGGGGGTTGCCACTGGAGTAGTCTTCTTCCCGAAATGTCTTCACACTGATGCCCGAAAAAGGCTAGAAATAAAACCCCATAGAGCAGTGTCTATAGAGCAGGTATTTGTTTATTGTAGCACTGGAGGTGAAGGGGATTTCTCCTTCTAACCCACCTGCCTTTGCATAAAATTGGCAGTATTTATACAGTAAGCATGGTGTAACATGAACATTGTCACTGCGCCCACCACCATATATATGAGTATGAAAATACATGTTATCACAGTTTTATAAGTGCACATGAGTCATCCTCTAATGAGAGACCATAATCTTCATCATGGTGGACTTTTCACCTTTGTCTTCACAGTATGCACAGTTGTGATGTTCGTGGGGTTTTTTCCTAGTCCTCCAGGTCTTCATATTTCATTTTTCAGCTCACTGCCTTGTGTGTCTGCCAAATTCTCATTAGTGCTCCCTACTGTTCCTTACTATAGCATCTACCTGTCTACGTCTACAGAACTTTTTTGATTTATGCTTCTTGGTGATTCTATTTTGTTGAGGCATTAATCCAGATGGCTGGGTTAGCAACATACACTGTATGTTGTTAATACCCTATATAAAAACTTATAACAATATATGAAAAGGCTATTATTGATAATATATTGGAAGCTATTACATTGTATATTGATAATAGGTAAAAAGCTATTACATTATGTATTGATAATATGTAACAAAGGTTATATAAAATTTTCAATCAATAGGCCTCATAAGCACCTTATAACTTTGACTTAAGCCATAGGTATCAACACCAGGGCACTGTTTTGTGGCTGTGGTCCTTTTATCTTCCTGAAATGTCCCTGGTCAGGTGCCCCTTTGTGGTGTGTAGTCCTTCTATGCTTTCCTGCCTTGTGCATCCCAATATGGGACAGCACTTGGTGATAATGGTGGGAACAGAGGACATGTACTTCTCCTTGTTTCAAAGAAATCCTACTTCTCTGTTTGTTTTTGAAAGTTGTGTTCCTCTATACCTTAAACTTCCCGGGCTAAACACCCATTGACTGTTTGCTGCACCCATGAGGTTTCTTGTGCAATCACATCTCTGCTTGGGCAGTGCCCACAGGCTCTGTCAATCATGACAAGGTCTTTCTCATGGCACCAGTCTTCAGATATCCTATTTTAGTCTCCGGAAGCTGAGAGGTAAATTTTACCCTGCATCCCAGCTGGAATGTCAGTATATCCAGCCTTCCTGGGAATTCTCCAGGGAGCATCATGACAGTGGAGAAGCTTTGTCTCCTTACATCCCTGTGGCTGTCAGTTAGTGCCATTCCTCCAGGAGTTCTGTGAAAGGGCACAAGTGGTGGCCAGGTCACTGCCACACAGCTCACGTCACTGCTGTTTCAAGTGYCAGAGCTGGGTTTATTCAAGGCGTTACCAAACATGGGTGGATCCCACTAACGGGTTGCACGGATGAGAGGGAAAGCACAATTCCTCACTGAGCCAAAGGGAAGTGTATCCATGAGGCAGCCAATCTGTGCAGCGTGGGCTGTGTGGCAGATAGAGTGTGTGTGCTGTGGGTCTGGGAACAAAGGGTTCCAAACCCAAATCCAAACAGACAGACCCTGGCTGCACCATTAGGGAAGCGGGGAGCMCTCCTAGGATCCCACAAACAATGGGGAGTGAGTAAGAAAATTGGTGTGTGCCCAAGGTAAAGTGCAGGTTGTGTTGGCACACCTGTCCAACAGGAAAAGCTGCTGGCTGCTCCTTGCAGGTGTCGGGAGCTGGTTCCCCAGGAGCTGGGTGCCTGTTAAACACAGGCTCTTGGCGAGCACATGGATGCTGCTTCTGCCTCCACTGGAATGGCAGAGTGGTTTCCTTTTTGAAACTAGGACGGGAATGGTCACTGCCAAACTGGAAGTCTCCACTTCCCATTGAAACACTTGTGGCTGTCCAGACATCCAAGTGAAAAAAGTTTATTTATGCAAAACCTCGGTAAGCCGTGAGGACGGGGCCACGAACCCGTTTGCAGGAAGGATCTCATTTCTAAATGAAGTTTCAAATCCAGGATTCCTAATGCTGCAGAAGCCACAGGAAAACACGTCTCTGCCACAGGGAATGCTGCCCCTTCTTTCAAAGAAATGATCCTCATCCTGTTGATTTCAATTGCTCGCCATCTTTTTTCTTTAATTCAAAACTGTGTTTATGCTGGACACTGAAATGCGTTTTGCTTTTCTGGATATATTTGGCATTGTGCTTGCATTTGAAATTAATCATTAAGAGTGTTCTGTGGGTATTTAATTTAATCCAGAAATCATTAGAAAAATATTGGAAAGCTTTGAAATGTTATATTGTCTGTCTGGTTTTTTGTATTTTTTTTTTCACCAGGAACTCAAAATATAATCCCGGTTGGGTTTGGGTTGTGTTTCAYTTAACCTTTTCTTTTTCTGTTTTGTGCGTGATTGATGATTGAGGCTTTTGTGTCTGTCTGAAACACTTGTGACTCACTTTACTGSAKCAAAGAGGTGGCAAACAGCTTGAYAGAGTCAAGAAATTRTTTAATAATTGAAATCTGCTCTCCTTCCTGTTTCCTGYATCCTGCTCACTATATCCTCTTTTTTCTTCTCTCTTGCAGTTAATAGCTCATTACTTAACAGGACAATGGTGCTGTCAGACTATGAGCTGGTCTCTCCCTCCTCAGAGCTGGTGAGTTCCCCTTGGGAAGGCAGGGATCACAGGGGCTGCAGAGTCTCACAATGCCACTCTATTGGTGAGATCTGGGTAATGAGGAGACAGCAGTGAAGCTTGATGGATCACATCCATTTGTGGGGGAAGGAAGCTGAGATGCAGAATAACAACACCTTTTAGTCAGACAGGCAGGAGGACGGTCTCACCCAAAGCGTTCTATGATTCCATAGTTTTTAGCCTCTGCATGATGCCTCCCTGTTCCTCTCAGACATTCTGTCCCAACATGGGTAGATTGTACACAGCCTTATCCAAACATTCCCTTTTTTTCTGCAGGACAACACCACCATTGACTGGGCAGCTCTGACAGCCAAGGAGTGCTTGAAGTATGGGGGACAACTTGTGGGCAACAACTGTGACTATGTCCCTGACATCACCCTCATGTCTTTCATCCTCTTCTTTGGCACTTACACCTGCTCCATGGCTCTGAAGAAATTCAAGACCAGTCGCTACTTTCCCACCACTGTAAGTACCTCCTGTCACCCCATTCAAGTGCACAGGTCAGCCTTCCTTTTGCAGTAGCTGTCCTACACACAGGGAGAGATGCTCTGCAGGGAAGCCAAGTTGGGATAAAAGTGCAACTGGTGKTTGGATCTGATTAACAAAGGCTTGCCTGGGATTGCTCCCAGTGGTTCTGGAGGGCACAGGTAAGGCAGCRGAAGAGCCAAGAGGAGTCATAATCTGTCGTGGGAATGTGGCAGGGATTTGAAAGGTGCTGAAGGGGACCCTTTCAAGCTTTCAGGTGCATCTGTTTGTTTTGCCCCCCCGGTGAGGCTCCCAGGCCAGGCGTGCGAGCCAGCGCTTCATGTGTGTGCCAAAGCCCTTTATGTCTGAGATTGCCTGGTTTCTGRCATTCCAAAACACAGGGATTTATCCTGCATGGATGTTTACTGTTCCACTGTATTACAATTGAACCTCTCTTATTTTTAATAAAAAGGAAACAAATTCCATCCGGGCTGGAATGCAACTCAATTTATCTGTAACCATGTGAACCCAGGAAACCTGGAAGGAACAACAGCTCTGGAAAGCTCACACAGTTCCAGGCTCACATAGTGGCTCCTGCCTGGTTAAATTCTGGGGTCTGATCAGTGGCAGCTTTAAGCTGTTGTATTCCAGTGACTTCAGGAGAGCTGCAGTCTYAGGGATTTAGCAGAGAAACCTGGTKCATTTTCCTGTCTGCTTAGTTAGATTTATTACTTGAACAGCAAACAATRTAATCTCTGCCAGTCATTCAGAGTATCTTATTTGTGGAAGTTTGTGTTGTTTTCATGCTTCCATTTAGTCCTTAGAGAACACACTAAAGTACCAAGGCATGCCTGGCAAATGACACTGGGCATGACAGTGGGCATATTTGTGGGAGAAGAAATGATGAGCTTGTCTTGCCAYGGGGTTTCTCATGTAGACACTAAAGGTGGGTGAAATGGTGTTTCGTGGTGCTAATTCCTGTTATGACATCACCTTCTCTTTCAGGCCCGGAAGCTCATCAGTGACTTTGCCATTATCCTGTCCATTTTGATTTTCTGTGGAATAGATGCCCTGGTTGGTGTGGACACACCAAAACTAATTGTGCCAAGTGAATTCAAGGTATGTTGTTGTCAGCTTGTTTGCTGGCCTTAGGAAGAGGTTCCTTTTCCCTCACACCTGCCMTGTATGGAAGACTTGCCCTCAGAATGGGAATGGAGTCAGTGGTCTGGAAAAGGCTGATTTACTCAGATTTGGGTTACAATGCTTTTTTGTCACCATCATTTTGGTTGGCTGATATATCTCCTAAATTCTTCCTCCATACTTGGAACCTCTCACTGGTGTTAATGGGAAGGGTGTCAAGTGTCTCCTTGGAGCTCCAYTGCTGGAAGCAAACCTGACTTTGGGATGTCATCACCCGTTATRTTGCACCTCTAACACAAGCTTTCTCTTCCTTGCCCTTCAAAGCCAACCAGTCCYGAGAGGGGTTGGTTTATCCCACCTTTTGGAGGRAACCCGTGGTGGGTGTACCTGGCAGCAGCCATCCCTGCCCTGCTGGTGACCATCCTCATCTTCATGGACCAGCAGATCACCGCCGTCATCGTCAACAGGAAGGAGCAYAAGCTCAAGGTGGGTGTGCTTTGTGCCTGGAGTGTGTGCAGGGGCTTTTCCTCCTGCCCCTTCCTCCTTTGTGGACATGAGCCTGTTCCCTGGCTCTGGCTGCTGTTCCTGGCTTTGTGGCCAAAGCTGCATGGTCCTCTCAAAAACRAGCAATAAGCTGGAGAGATTTGGGACATACCAAGGGCATAGCCCCAGTTGGATGTTATTTAAAGAAGAGCTGACACATAACAGCCTGAGATGTAGTCATGTTTTTAAAATAAACTTTCTAGACCAGTGCTATGCAGTTTTTCGTGCCTGTAGGGTTTTTATCTTTTCCCTGCATGGTTAGTTCTATTGAAAAATATTAAATTCCTGTAAAAGACTCCCTTCCTGCTAACAGGACACGTTTCAAGTGGTCTGACCCATGGGAGKAATGACTCCCTCAAAACACAGGTAACAGTGGGTCATTATTTAGATACCTGTTTTATCATTTATAAGGAGTGCTGTTGGAAATGGGGAGGGAGCTTCTGCTTGGAAAAGAGGAGGATGTTCCTATTCATGTAATGTGTGATTTAAGATCATCCTGAGCCCAACCTGGAGGAGAGAGTTAAAGTACTAGGGAATGAGAAAGGTTTCTTGGGCACAGTGATAACTTGCTGGCTGATGGTTTTAAAAAAACGCCTCTGTTTTTTTTAAAAACCAGATCTGGGCAGATAAATTCCATACTTGGGCCCTCATGTTCCTCAGAGATGGCTGATCAATTGTAGGTCTGTCTCCTGCACCTCACTAAGCAGACATARCATTTTCTTAACCACTGCAAGAAAATACTTACTGTTCTTCCCTCATGAAGAAGAGGCCCCTCATCTCTGCAGCTTATGAACCACTGAATGTTGTTTTCTGTCAGCACTGCCTTTACTTTTTTAGTAACAGAGTTATAAACWCTCCAGCAAAGTACTGTTTGATATAAAAAATGTATTCCCTGCTCCCTTTGTTATGGTGTGAGCATGATCTTTTGYGGAATTGAGCATTCACAAGCCCTATTCTGTTGTTCCACGCCAAAAAACACCTCTATACACAACATGTGCTATAGGAAAGAGTTTTTTTTTCTGCTCATCCCTTGCTAAAGTGTTGGCAGGGTGTTGCTGGGTGCCCATCCCGGAGCCACCAGCCAGCCAAGGTAAGCAGCACATGTGTGAGAAAAACAGTGAGAACAATTCAAGAGAAGCTGGATTGTTCTCCCTCCTGGGTCATCCTAGGCCTGGATCATTTGTTTTTTTCCARTAAAATCAAATTGAATGGGATTAAAAAAAGGTTAATCTGTTTTAAAATAGCATACCTTAGAGATTTATCTACTGTTTTTCTGAAGATCCCTTTTCTTGGTGGCTCTTTTGTTTCTTCACTTCTTCTCTTGGCACTTGTGACTGCTGGATTTCCTGTGTTATTTCATTAAAGGATTTTAAAAACAGAGGATCAGAGGTGTTTGAAAAGGAGTCAAAAATGAGGGCAGCTTTCTCCTTTGGGTGGGSAATGAGGCTTCAGCTGTTCTTGTTGCACTCCTGAAGGAGCCTGGGGTCAGGTCTTGAGGGAGATGTTCATGATGTGTGTCTGGTGTTTGGCTCTGTTGGCCAGGATGGTGTGGAAGGAAATGCTGCCTGTCCAGTGTGYCTCTGCCTTGCTTTATAGGCATTTGCAATAATTAATCTGAATGTTGTTTGTCTCTACACAGAAAGGTGCTGGATATCATCTGGATTTGTTCTGGGTGGCCATTCTGATGATAGTCTGCTCCTTCATGGGGCTGCCCTGGTACGTGGCTGCTACCGTTATCTCCATCGCTCACATCGACAGCTTGAAGATGGAGACTGAGACTTCAGCCCCTGGAGAACAGCCCAAGTTTTTGGGAGTCAGGTATGTCCAACCAGGAAGCCTTAATTACCTTGTCTGCCTGCAAAATCCTTATTACAAAGAATTTTGTGCTGCTGTCTCCCTAGTTCAAAAGCCAGTTCCTTGGACAAACCCCCATGTGACTCTTCCAAAGTTTATTTGGCCACGTCAGATGCAGTGTTCCTGTGTTAAAGGAAATTTCCTGCAGGTTTCTTTATCCAGGATTCCTTAGCAAATGCTATGGTCAAACATGCAAACCTGTCATACCTAGTGACACCAGCTCTACTTAATGAAGCATTTTTCCTGTGTTTGGTTGCCTTCTTTAAGTGATCTGCAGTGCTTCCAATGGGAGTGCTCCTGGAAATCAGGCTGCTTGTTTAGGGCAGCTAAGTACAAGTTTTATGGCCTGACTTTCAGTGTTAAGAAATATTACTAGCTGAGGGATTTTTGGATGTGGGGAGCCCTGTGGGTGCTGCTGAAGGCTCATGTTCAGCACTTCCTGAAGGTCTGAGTGATTTATCTGGCTGTTGGAGTGCTCTGGGCAGGGCTCACAAYATGTTACTGATGATTTATTGCCTCTCTGCATGCTCTGAGTATAGCTGTGCAGGGAGCTGGGAGTGCTGGTTTGTAATGTTTAGCATGTAAACACACTCCTCTTTGCTCACTTGTGGTGCCTGTTGGTCCCCAAACAGWGTAACAAAACAATCTGGGGCTTGAAAAGAGAGGTGTGCAGGGCTTGGTCAGGATCCAGCCACCTGCCTGATGCTGTTGGCTGAAAAATATGGCTGCAAAAATGAGTTTTGATTGAGGATTGCTGTTGGAGTTAAGTTCTTGTGGTTCTCACCCAGTGATGTTGTTTCAGGGAGCAGAGAGTCACTGGAGTCATCGTTTTTATCCTGACTGGGGTGTCTGTTTTCATGGCTCCCATCCTGAAGGTAAGGACTGTTTACAGTTCCTTGCAAGCTTAAATCTAAACCTTTTGGAAGGAAAACCAGCATGGCTSTAGTGTGCTAGAATAGTGACCAAGTTCAGGGTTGGAGTTCTTGGGCACCGTATTTTTTTTTCATTTTAGGATTTTTTTTCCATGTTTGCATAAAGTTAAGTTTCCCTTTTCTTTTGTGATGTGTTTTATACCTCTGCTGGGCCTGTGTTTTATGGAAAACATATTGTGGATAAAGCTCAGAGTATGGAAAACATGTTTCTGGAGCAAGCAGTGCAATTAAATGGCATTTCTTCTTCTCCTGAACCTTTTTTTACCTGTGAGTTTAGCCAAGGCTCTGGACAGATGTGCCATTGCATCCAGGTAGGTTGCTGTTTTCTGAGACCAGAAATTGGTTGGCATGTGGCCACAGAGACATGCACCCTTCAGTGAATCATCAGATTGTAGAAGGAAAATGGCAAACCTGCTCATCCCTGCCTTGTGGGGGACACTGCCTGCTCCAGGGGTAGCGATGGAAGTGGTACCAAGCACAGACAGACACACTGTCCAATGGGCCATGGCAGTTGCAGGAGCCTTTATCCATGCATCCAGAGGCTGATGGGACAAACAGAAGATGTCAGACCAGTGGCACCGTGCATCATAACTACAGGAGCATTTCTGGAGGCTGCAGATGAGGTTTTAGAAGCCACAGRGGCTGTGAGGCACAATGAGATGTGAACCTGAGGGCAGGAGGCAGGCAGGGAGTAGCAATCTGCCTGTGGAGAGAGTTGGACACTGTGGCTTTCCAAAGCCAGTGTGTTCCTGTTGTTCATTTCTRAGGYTGTTTGTAGAGCTCAGATTTTGGTGTCTTGGGTAACAGTTCCCACCTCCACACAAACAGGCATTTCCGTGCCTTTAATTCAATGCCTGATTGTGTTAATCCTGTTTTTCATGTGACCTTTCCCTGCAAGATCCCTYGTCCTCTATTCCACCGGGGTCTGCTAATTCCTGTGTTACTGCTTCAGTCATTGGTTGCCTGTGCTCCCCCTAAGACAATGTGTGGGGAAGATCCTCGCTGGAGGACGCCTGAGGATAAGTCAGCACACTCCTGGCCCACGTGCCAGGGGGAAGGATTTGGCAGGATTTCAGCACCTTTGGCAAATTCCAGTGGCAGGGTCCTGCCGGAGAGAGCTGCTCTGCTGAACCCATTGAAGAACATTTCACTCTTCTGCCAGCGGCGAATTGAACACTGACAATTCCAAATTCAATAAACCAGTCAATCCACAGAATAATCCCAGCTTTGTTTTCTGAGGSCTTCGCAGTGGTTGTGCTGGTTTTGGATGTTGCCGGTGTTTCTGCTCAGCCAAGGCAGATCTCCACAGAAACATCCTTGGCCCTGCTAGGAGAGTGACAGGCGCTTTCTTATAAATACAGTTTTAATCCTGTTGGACTGCAGCAGGGCTGCTCAGAGCACCAAAGCCAGCACTCCCACTGTCAGGGAATACTTTGCCAAGAGAAAGTCTTCCAAAATGACAGCACCACTTGCTGCTCTGCAGGGTAATGTACTGAGGTTTCACCTCAGCATGATCTGCAGGTTTAATCATCATGGAATGGTGAAATAATATACAGACATGTTTCTTACTTTTAAAAAACCCCATGGAAATAAACAGAAGATGAGGACAAGAGAGCTGTRAAAATGAGCTGCAAAGCTCAACTCGTGATTACTGGAGCTACTGTCTTGTGTTGTCTCTTCCTTCARTCCAGTGAGGGCTTTGAACCCGTGGTCACCCACAGCTTTGTGAACCACAGGCCGGGTCCCCCTCCTTCCACAACGGTGTTGGCAGACCCCACACTGCAGAAAAAGCATTTGCTTTCTACTGGGAAATATCAATGCAGCTCACTGGAAGGATGAAATAAAGCCAAGAGAAGGATGAGTTGGCAATTAAGAAGCTCTCAGGAAGTGATGGGCAGTGAGACTCGGGAAGGAAGGAAAGAAGGAAGGAAGGACAGAAAAATGCAGGCAGGGAGGCTTTGGATAGCACATGGCCAGGTGACTTTGGTGCTCATATACCCCCAGGGAAATGCCTGCCAGAAATGATAAATAAGGTGGTGGAGAATATGCTAAACCACTGGATACTGCTGTGTTATTTGCCTCTTTAAGGAGCCTGTGCAGAGTTTGGAAGGGGAGGGTTTCCAGCACAGGAGGCACCGTGGCCGGACTGAGGCTGCCATTCAGCGACAGCCACCTGGCACTGCACAAGGGACTGTCCTTTGGAGCTCCTTCCATCCTCCCTGGGCTCCAGTAAATCCCACAAAGGCCATTATTCAGCTCCTGCCTGTTCCTGTCACACCAGGCTGGATGCCCAGTTCTGTGTTGGGGGCAGAGATTCATTCCAGGGAGCCTGACTGGTGTTCCCCTGCACCTTCCTCACTCCCGAGGGGAGATGTGTCTGATGGCAGGAATGGGCAGCACTTGGCACTTTGAGGGAGCAGCAARTGSTGTTTGAAAGGACACATTCTGGCARTGAAGAAGGGAAATGGCAGCCCTGTATTTGGGAGTAGTTATGGATTAATGTTTGCAAGAGACGGAGCAGGCAGAGATTGGGTTGGCATGACTGTTGTTGCTGAGGTGGGACTCCAAAGAACAGCCTTTCTGCATGGATTTGCATGGTTTACCAAGCTGCAGTGGACATGGAATCACAGGATTGTTTCAACTGGAAAAGCTCTCTAAGATCACCCAGTCCCACCAGCACTRCCAAAGTCACTACTAAACCATGCCCCCCATTTACCCTGCTTTTAATTCCTCCAGAGCTGGTGACTCTACCACTGCCCTGGAAAGCCTGTGCCASGGCTTGACAACCTTTCCATGAAGGTTTCCCAAATATCCCACCTAAACCTCTCCTGGTGCAACTCGAGTCTGTTTCCTCTTATTCTATCACCTGTTATCTGGGAAAACAGGGTATGCCACAACCTACAGGATCGTGCTGCCTTTTCTTCTTCTCTGCTCTCTGCTTCCAGTCACAAATCCAGAGGTGAAAGGCAGTTTGAAGCTCACTGGAACACACTTGCCCAGCTCTTCCTTAACTTGCTGGGTGACTGGCATCATTCCCTCTGGTTCTTAACAAGATGTCCACGTCCTGGTGAAGTGGGAGAGTGTGATAGCACAAATGTCTTTGCATCTCTCAAAACACAGCGGAATAATTTATTGCTGTTAATTCGGCTTTATTTTGCTTTATTGTTTGTATGACTTCATTCCTCCATGTTGTTCACACATGGGTGCAGTGTGAGTTGATGTCAGGCTGGAAATGATGTCCCACCGTGTGTTAATGGTGTGTGGGGAGGTTCTTCACCTGCTCTCTCCTGCTCTTCCTCCCACAGTTCATTCCCATGCCTGTGCTCTACGGTGTCTTCCTCTACATGGGAGTTGCRTCCCTCAACGGCGTGCAGGTGAGCAATAACCAGCACAGAGCTCTTCCAMAACCCTCCAGCTTTCCCCTTGTCCTTTGCTGCCTCCTCTTCCTTGCCAAGAAACCCATGGAGGGTGTCAGCTGTTGACAAACATTGCCAGCGCCTGGGTGTCCCGAGATGGAGACAAGGGAGAGTGGCCAAGTGTGCACTGTCAGTGCTGGGGGTGCTTTGTGAGGACCTGGGTCAATCTTTGGCWACCAGGATGGSGCTTGGAGCWRCCTGGTCTAGTGGAAGGTGTCCTGCYCGTGGCAGAGGGGTGGARCAAGATGATCCTTAGGATCCCCTCCAACCCAGACCATTCCAGGACTCTACAGGCTTCAGCCCCAGCTCAGGCTCACTCCCAGGGTGATTTGGGTTCTCTGCCAYGACTGAAGGCAAACAAGGAGGATGATTTATGGCAACAGGGTTATTCCTCAATGCTAACGAGCAGGAACATTGTTCTCCAGGGAGGAGATGCCAAGCCCCTTTCTTTGTCGTTGAGGAAATCTTACATAAGGAGCCATTCTCATGCCCAGCGCCTGTGGCTTGCCCAAGGAGGCTGGAAGTGGTTTTGTTGCTTTCTGGCACCCTGTTAATTGTGGCCTTTCTTTTTCACACTGAGCTGTGCCCTAAGGGGAAGGGACTGCCTGTTCTGTGAGCCCCAGAATTCCCTCGGGCATTCTGTAAAGCAGCCCCAGCTTCCATTCACTGGTGCAGGATCWGTCTGGTCCCAGCAGTGGCAGTGAGCCCGTGCTCTGGCAGGGGACAACGAGGGGATTGTCCTGTTGGCCCCAGGGTGGCTCTCTGGAGAGGATTTCCCCTGCTCCTGGCCCAGGTGGTGGGGGCACTGCCATCAAGAGTGGTTTTTGCTCAATGAGAAATSCCCATTTTGGTTTGACTCCAAGCCCATCCGGTGCAGCAGAGAGCAAAGGGACACTGCTGGGAAAGCTGCCTGTCTTCCTTGCTCTTTGGTGAGGTGCTGTTCTGTTTTCTGGCAATGCAGTGGGTGCCCTCGCCTCTGTTGACCTCTGCTCCTGATTTATTTGGGGAAAACAAAAGCATTCTTCCTAAATGCTGAATGTCTCTCTTTGGCAGGAGCRGGGAAGGGGAGAACAGCAAAAATTYCCCAGTGTGATGCTGACCAGTTTGGGCATTCATCTTGTTTTCTCTTTTTTATGCATCCTGGGTTTCATGTCAACATCCCTTCATTTTCTTTTGCAGTTCATGGATCGTCTGAAGCTGCTCTTGATGCCTCTAAAACACCAGCCTGACTTTATCTACCTGCGCCACGTCCCGCTGCGCAGGGTCCACCTGTTCACCTTCCTGCAGGTGGTGTGCCTGGCCCTGCTCTGGATCCTGAAATCCACTGTGGCTGCCATCATATTCCCTGTCATGGTAGGTGATGCTCTCCTTCACCTCCCTCACCTGACCACAGCCTGCACCTTGGCCAGCTGTGCACTCCTGTAATGTGGAAATCCAGCCTTCCTCATCAAGYCTCTGGCTCAGGGCTCCACTCATAGCACTCATGCATGGGGTCAGTGTGGCTGTGGCTGCCCTTACWGAAATTCTCTGGAGGAAAACAAGCCTGGAAAGTTAATTTTTTCCCAGGAAGGTGTAGTTAGTGTTGACTGTTCCTGGCTGCCAAGGTTAGATTTGCCGTGGCTTCTCCTTGAGCTACATGAACCAAGTTGGAGGGGCACAACTTTCCTGTTTTAGCAACACTAACTACCAGGTACTTTTAAATAGCACAAATTGACAACACCGAGAAGGAGGTTCAGTGTTAAGAGGGGTGCCAAAGGGAGGGAAAGGGAATGTCTCTTCCTTGAACTCAAGTGAAAAGACACTAMTGTTTCCCTTGAGAGGATGGTTATTCATATTATTACCAGAGCTATAGACACAGGCAGTCTTTGGCTTGGAGATGGATCAGACTTCTGCAAAGGCAAAGCTTTATGAAACTCATGAATAAATCTTGGCCACAGGTCACCTAATTCTGGGTTTATGGACAAGTAAAATCTCAGTTGTAGGGGCAGGTAGGAGCTGCTGTGCTTATTTAAGGGACAGAAGGAGAGTGGGCAAAACCCAGAAAAAGAACAAGATGGTGAAATGGGAAAAGATGATGCAAGTAAAAAAATCCTCCAAATGTTCCTGCTGGGACACATGCTCCTGTAAAAGGTTAAAAATCAGCAGCTCTCACTGAGGTGGCATTCCATCACTGTTCCATTGCTGTGTTGCACTGATGTTGGAAGCTGAATCTAAAATCTCTTTGCCCATATTAGAATCTGAGTGAAACCCAAGTCTGCCAAAGTTTGTTAGAATGGTGCAAACTCAGGGAAGGCACAGCCACAGCTGCAGTTGAGCTCCATCTGATGGCAAAAGCTCAATTTTCTGCACTCATGAGCAAAAAAGCTACCAACTTCCAGTTTGTGAGGAATCAGCCAATAGCCAGCTCCCTGTTTATTTGGAGGAAAGGCATTTTCCTCACAGTAATTGGTAGTGGGATGATCACGGGTGTCTGCATGGCATCTTTCCACCCCTGAGTCTGTAATCGTGTCTTAAGTTACGCAAGTCAAAGCTTGAGATGCTTTCCTGGGAATTGTTTGTGCCRTGGATCATCATAAGGACAAAGTTTTCCTTAGAGGCAGCCCGTTGGGAATGGGTTACAGCTTCCAGCCTGTCGATGAACCCCTTGGCAAAGTCTGTGTGGGATCTCAGTGGCCTCTGATGGGGGTGTCAGACCCAGTGTCCATATAAACACACATTTCACTCATGTCCCTTCCTGTTTCCCAGCRCTTTCATTGCAGTCTTGCACAGAATAAGCTTTTCCTCCAGTTTCCTGCTGCCAAAATGCGAGTAAACTTTATTCTGCAAATGCTGGGGGAATGGATTGGCACTTGTCTGATTTCTTTCTTAAGAGCTCTTGCTCCTGGGGAAGTGGTGAGAAATAAGTTAAGGCTTTATTACTCAGGCTGTCCTGTGAACCTGCCTCCAGAAGTAAATCAAAGTGCTCATTTCTATTCTCTTTATTATTTAGTAATAATACTGTTTTGTGTCCACTGCTTGTTTTCTTGCTGACATGAGGCAGTCACAGCAGAACCTTTCAAGCTGACAGAGATGGTGTTCACCACCTTCTTTGTATGTTCATTTACAGCCAGAATTCCAGAGTGTGGGATTAGAAGCAGAACTGAGAGGAATGCARTGTTCCAAATGAAAGGTAAAATGTGACCAGGAATCCCTCTCTTTGCAGATCTTGGCCCTGGTGGCAGTCAGAAAAGCCATGGACTACCTCTTTTCCCAGCATGACTTAAGCTTTCTTGATGACGTCATTCCAGAAAAGGACAAGAAGAAGAAAGAGGACGAGAAGAAGAAGAAAAAGAAGAAGGGCAGTATGGACAGTGACAATGAYGATGTAAGGAGCTTCCTGCTCTTGTGACATTCCTCCTTCCTAGGTWGTTTAACCCCTGCCCAGTGCTGAGGCTGGACATTTTCCAGCCTCAGCAGCTCAGTTTTCTGCTGCTGCAGCAAATGGGTCCCAAAGAAAACTTCTTTCCTCCACTGCTTGCCCTTTTCCAGCCTGTGGTGGGTGGTTTGTGCATTGCTAGGAATGAAATCACACTTTCCAACAGCACCAGGTACCTGCTGAGATGTCATGCCCCTTGTTAGAATGCCTCTCATCACCCTGCCTCCTCCAGCTTCCCTCCTCCACCATTCTCCCCTTTGTTGTCTCTTACGTTTTAGGAGGAGAATACTTTTCACCAGCAAGTCTGGTCCGTCTGGTTTTATTTATTTTTTTTAAGTATTTTTGTAATGGCTCTTTTCRAAAGCACAAAATAGATGTGATTTGTCCTATTGCAGGAAAAACTGCTTTGTGTTGTTAAAACTCATCACCTAAATGTTTCCTGAGCATCCATGCCCTCTGCAGTACACTCTGGTCCTACCTCAGCATGCCCTAAATAGTGAAAAGTGACCTGGCTAAACCAGACCCATGTGCCTTTGACTGTTCTCTTTCCTCCTGTATGTATAAAAAGAACTAATGTAGTCCTGGTGCCTTTAAACATTCTCCTGCTCAGGTCTAACTCAAATCCTTTAAATTTAAATACACTCSGTGGTGTGTTCTAAGCATGGAGTCATTTCTGCTCATTTCCACGAAGTAGGGCCTTTCCTGGGGTGTAGGGAGAGTGAGACCACCTGAAGCAGGAAAAGAATCCCATTTGAGCACAGCAGGAAAAACAGCTTGGAGGATTGATTTTTACTTCAGACAGCAAGCTACCCTGTCCCATTACTCCAATTCCAGGGTGAGGGTTTTCTTTAGCACCTCTGTGCAAACCAAAATGAGATTAAAAACRGCCCTACTGAGTAATCAGCAAAGGTTTGGCTCCATCCCCTCCTCCTGACTGCTGTGAATCCAGCAGCATTGTATCCCAAGCCGTGGCTCCCCTCTCTCCACTATATTTTAGGATATCTCCTCTCTTCCCAGGCTTTTCCTGAATTCCAGGTACAGTAATTAATTAATGGCTAAGAGATTTTATGCAAAATATTGGTTCTTAACTCTTGCTTTTTTTTTCAGCACTTGCTTTTACCAGCTTCCTGAACATACAGCACTGGGCATTGCTGGTTGGATTATTTTCACACTTTCCCTTCCAGAAATATCCACCCTGTGGGATTTGGGGGTCAATACATGGATCTGAGTTCAGCCAAGGGAGCTGTTGGGTGTTGCTTGTGCTTTATTTGTGCTTGTCCCTCAGTCTCATCAAAATAGTTCCTAGKAAACATCTTGCTCTTGGGGTATGAAATAAGGCACTGGATGTCAGTTATGTTAAAAAATAAATTTAAAAGGAGAATAACAATCCAGGGAGAGCCTTTCTCTGGCCTCCTTACTATTTTTCTGCCCTGACTGGAAGGTCTCCTCCCTCCACCCCAGTGTTGTGAGTCTGATTCTCTTCAGGAACAAAGATGTCCCAAAATGCTTGGCAAATCCCAGCTTCCTGCCTTTGCCAAGTTAGGCAGTATCAGCCTTTCCTTGGCTATGAGGAGTTCCCATTATTCTTAAAAAAGCAAAACAATTCCAAGCATCTCCAATTAAGCAGAGGCAGGTGGGTGACAAAAGGCAGTGGGGTGTAAAATGCTGCTGGGACCCCAGCTCTGGGGGACCCTGGCTTTTCCCTGTGCCTCATGCTGAGCTGGTTGATGGCCAGGGTTACAGAATTCTTCTGGAATTCAGGAACCAGTGTAACTGAGAYTRGGTTTGACTGCACTTGCATTACAARGGGAGCTGAGACATTTGGATATAAGGAACCTCTGCCATGTTGTATCTGGGCCCTAGAGTGCAAGTAGGAACAACCAAGGGCTTTTACAAAAATCCCAGCAGGATAAAGGTTTGGATGAGCTTTTCCAGCAGCCACTGTCCTTTTGTGTCTGCCCACAAATGCATTTTCCATCTGTATTTCCTGCAGCTGGCWCCAGGCAGAACAGAAGGTGTCTTAAAAGCCAGTGGGTGGGAAAGGGGAGATTTATTACAATTTCCAATTCCATGAGATTATTCTTTCAGTCTGTTTTACTTTCAGAGTAKGAGGGGATGCTTTTCTCTTTTTCCTCCTTTTYTYTTCCCKAATCGTACAGAACTATGTAAAGGATAATTTTTATGTGTGGGAGACRATAAGAGAGGAGCAGTGGGAATATTCTAAGACATTTTACACGTTTCTTTCACAGTCTGACTGCCCCTACTCAGAAAAGGTCCCAAGTATTAAAATCCCAATGGACATCATGGAGCAGGAACCTTTCCTAACTGATAGCAAACCTGCCGACAGTGAGTAGAACTAAGCTCTTGCATGCCTGCTTGACTTGCACTACAAAAATATATCTATGTATATTTAGAGGGGGTTTTCTATTTTTTAATCTTTCCTTTTACTTGAGAAGTACTTTTTTTATGTTCCTTCTTTTTCCTCTCTCCTTTTTAATTTCCAGGCCCCTGCTTTATGACAGATTTTGCTTTTGTGAGCTTTTTTTTTTTTCCTTTGCTGGTTACAAAATCAGTGTTGTTCCTTCTGGTGCCTCCACTTTAAGTGCTTTTTTCCAACTCCTGACAGGTCTCCTGGCCACCCACTCTCTCCTCTCCTGTTCTCTTCTCTCTTCCCCTCTCCCTCTCCCCCTTGGTGTTAACCTGCTGATGGTGGGATTTATTTTTTTTTTCCTCTGAGCCTGGTGTTCTGGATTTGCAGCGCTGTCCTGTCACTGTTTGTTCCCTTAGGTGCCMAGCAGTTACAAAAATCAGCAATTAACAGAGTAATTCATTATTTGTGTCATTAAGCTGCACAGGCARAGATCAGTTGGCCATTTACATGTTTCTCTTCTTCAGTGGTTTGTGCTCTTCTTTTTGTTTTTAATTTCTCACGTTAATAGGCATAATTGATAAATATCTTTATTTTCAGTCATTCCCACTTTACATTTTCCTCTTCTAAGTGAGGAATCACAGCTGACCTTGGTATTTTTGCCTTTGGGATGACTTTTTAACATACTAAGGGTGTCATATGCTCTTTTCTTCTGATATAGTAGGGGAGAAATACAAAATAAGGGAATAAATGAGTGCTGCTGCCAGGCTAGTGCTTCCTAGGAGCAGGACCTAAACCCCAGATCTTTAGACCCTTATATTATCCATAGGGTTTAAGAGCTGGGAGCCAGGTCCCTTTCCTTTTGGTGGCACATAGAGGCCTCAGGAAATGCTGAGCATTACCCTTGTGGGTTTTAGATACAGGAGCATAGAGATTGGTGCTGTAAAACAAAACCATTGGAAAAGAGACATTTTCCTGGCTATTTGGATATCCTCAGTGTTTTGCYGATGTCAGCACATCATCCAAAATCAGCCACAGGCAACCACACATCATCCTCATTCTGTGAGAACACCCTGATGTACTAAAATAAAATTGCATCCTAAATATTGTTTCACAGGATTTTAGGATCAAATGCCTTTTTTTCCAATATCTTAATGGCTAAAATAGTTAAGGAAAAGGTAATTTTGCCATCAACCTGTTTGTTGGAACGCCCTTGGAGAGGGAATGGGGTAAAYCACCCATGAACTGAGTTGTTGCTGGTTTGTGTATTGATACATTTTTATAATCCAGTAYTTTATTTGCTGATTTTTAATTAGAACCAATGCCAAATAAAAATCAAAACATATCAGGCCACTGGAATAACAAAAAAAAAAAGCTGTGATCCAGCAKCACTGTGGAATTGTGCTTGAATATAGCTCTATGATCCAGAGTATATTCCTGACTGTACCTCTACCATCAGCAAAGGCAGGAATAGGAGTCTTATTTCCAGAGAACACCCTTCCCATAGGATCAGGAGAGAGAAGCCAGTCCAGCCACGAGGCACCCTGTTTGTCCCAAGGGATTTGGGTGCCAAGTGGGAGCACAGGGTAATTGAGGGGTACACCCAAGGCAGTGTCCAGCCCRAAAGGTGGGGGAGCTCCTGGGAAACAGGTCCTGTTGGCACCTCAAGGGGTTTTACCTTGGAGGAGAGGYGTGATGGAGAGTTTCCTCAACAAGCTGTGAATCCATCTGGCAGGTAACAGGAAAAGAGCTTGGCCCGTAGATGTGGGTTGGAGGAGCTGAGGCAGGGCTGGAGCAGCAATGACAGCCGAGGCTTTCTTCCCCCAGGAGAAAAATCACCAACATTCCTTGAACGCCACACATCGTGCTGATACAATTCCCTTCCTTCAATCACACGCCATGCCAAGGTAAGAACCTGGAAATGCACTTTGCAATGATGCACAAAAATGCACCTCTGTTCCCCCTCAGAACACAGGAAGATTCCCATAGGGAATTCTTAAAAACCACCTGGAGAACATTCCCTACAAGGGGTCGTTGCTTCCCAAGGTGATTATGAACAAGTTGATTCCATAGTGGTTCCAGCCTCTGGCACTGTTTGGGATGGGGAAAGGAGAATCTGTGAGAGAACCAAATGCTCCACTGGCCTCGGATAGACCCTGGCTGCAGCACTGAGGACTGGTTTGGGAACCAGAGCAGGAGAAAGATGTGCAGCTATTGGAGGAGTCCAGAGGGGTGTTGCCAGGAGGGAATAATCCATTTTTCCACATCTGTGGTGGAAAATAGAATAAATAATAATCTTAAATTGCAGCAAGTAATAATTGCTCAGAGTCCAGTCCCTGGGGGCCAGCTTGGGCCTCCCAGTACCGGGAGGGGGACCTGGACCAAGGCAAGTTTGTTCCTTTGAAATGCTGAAGATGTGTCTGCGCTTACAGGTCTTAGACAGGGCCTGAAATTGATCCCAATGGTGATACCTGGATTATTTCAATGGCAGTTGAGGGGTAATGTCACAGCCTGAGGTCAAGCACCAGGATGTCTGATCCCTGCAAGTGTCCAAGGCCAGGGTGGATGGTTCTTGGAGCAACCGTGTAGTGGAAGGTGCATGGAACTGGATGAATTTTAATGTCCCTTCCAACCCAAATCTTTTGGGGATCCTKTGAGGCACAGGTGCTGTACATTGGAGCTCCTTTGTCTGTGAAATGGGTGGTTTTGCCTGCTGCTGTGAGCAGTGTTCAGCCCAGCTCATTCACATTATCTGTGTGTGGGCCTTACCTCAAATCCAGCAGTGCATCCCCAAAGACTGGCATTCATCCTGCACTCACCTTGTCTGTCTTCTTCACAGCCCTCCACGAACTCCAGGAAAAGTTGTGCCTCAAATTAGAATAGAACTTGAGCCTGAAGACAATGGTTATTTCTGGAGGAGCAAGGGAACAGAAACTACTTTGTAATTTGTCTGTCTGTCCAATCTTTTACAAATYCATKTTGTCACTAGCCAAATGTTAAGAAGCTCCCTGCTCCCAGCAGCAAAGGCAATTGAGCCACCCCGCTGCCCCTCGCTGCCATGCCCCAGCTCTCTCCCAGGACTGGGATTGTCCTCTCCTCGGCTCCGAAGGGCTGCTCAGGATGTCACATYGGACCTGTGGCACTGCTGTTGTGAAGCAGTGTTTGCCTGGCACAGCAGAGCTGACCTGAGCTCATTCCGTGATGCTGGAACGTGCTGCTAACCCTGCGCTCTCACCTGTAGATAAAAGAGAAGGTACTTCACTCCCAGCACAGACAGACCATTGCCATCGCTGTAGCATGTTTGGAAATGTCCCTTTCCTATGCAATTTTTTTTTTAAAGAAACACTTTAATGGACTTAATCTGTCAGGTACATGGAAGAGTGTTATTTTCCTAGATTATTTTGTTTAAATTATGGGGGCCTAACCTACGACTTCTTTTTTTTTTTGACAATTTTTTTAACCTTTTTTTAATTACTGTAAAGAAAAATGAATTTTTTTCCTGCAGCAGGAAACATATAGTTATGAGTAGTTCTACCTCTTATTTCTAGATGCCAGGCTTTCTGTAAAAAATGTATTGTACCATATATAATGTGATTTTTACAAAAAACAAACCCACGACACCGCACCACCATCTCCAGGACGTGGCATAGGGCTGGATCAATTCAATTAACACCACCTGCTCCAAAGCATCTGTTTTTCTWAGGGTTATGTTGGTTTTTTGGAGTTTTTTTGTGAGTACTCTCTGCCGTGAAGGAGACGGGACATAAGTGAAATCTCCTTTGATTTTAGAGGAGTGTTAAATGCGTTGTTGGTCCAACAGTGCAGATGTTGGATTGCTGGTTGTATCCCTGTTGATTTCTGCCATGGGATGGCTCCATGGTTTCCTGGGAGCACCAGAGTGTGTGTGTGCAGTGAGGAGTGTCCCAGAGGAGGAAGATGATGAAGGTGACCTGCTGGGATGTTCATCCTGATGCTCGGAATYGCAAACATCTGCATCCCCTCCTGCATCCCACACCTGCTGACCATCATCTACAGATTTACCCTAAGTCTTGGGTTCTCAGCCCCACACCTGGCCATGCAGCACGACCAAGCAGGCCAGGCATGGGCATCCCAGGATTCTGGGGTGGAACCAAGCGTGTGAACATCACCTCTGGAAGAGAGGATTTTTTCTCTGTAGCATGTTTATACTGGTGTGTGCACCTAAACATGCATTTGGGAAACTGGGCTTCACCAGGACRTGAGGTAACACACTAAAAGCTTCATCCAAAAATGAAAAACAAAAGAAGAAAAAGTATCCCAGCTCTCCAGGCAAATTCCCCGATGGAGACAATCCCATCACAGAGGAATGGGCACAYGCTGCCACTTGGTACTTGTGAAACCAAAGTCTGGGTTGGTGAAGTCAAGAGGATTTTCTGATGGTGCTGAGACCTTAAATGCCAAATTTTAGCATCTRCTCCCACATAGGAGCCATCACCTCCATACAGTCCCCTGCTTGCTCTCGAGGGGTCTCCCCTTGTATTTGCATGAAATCTGTGTGGCTCTCCCAGGAACCCAACTGAAACCRGCTCTGAAAATGCTGGGGAAACGTGGCAAAGGCCTGAAGAGGAGCAGCTCTGGGATCCCTTCTGCTGCCAGACAGGTAACTGGGGAAGTGTGATGGCAGCTTTAGCCAATGCTCTCCATGCCTTGGTGAGCAGCATCCTGGCTCCAGCGGGGACAGACTCCAGCCTTGCCTGCCAGGAGCTGCCTGGGTCCTGCCCAAACTGGGGATGTGCAGCAATCCTGGAGGAAAGGTCAGGCAGGTGGATCACAGGGGCTCTCCCGGGCACTTGGGTGGGCACAGCTTCAGTCTGCTGCTGCCTGCTGATCTGTCTCCCCAAAAACGAGGTCTTCGCTTGCAAAGTGCAGTAAATGCACTTGAAGTGTCCTGAGTGCTGATCTAGATYTTTCTGTCTCTGTCTTGTGGTTTTTTGTGTGGTCCTAAGGGAGCGGTTGTGCCCAGGGCAGCGCTGCCAACAGGACCAAGGGTTCTGTGGCTTTCCATGAAGGAAGAACAGCCACCTCTTGGGGCAGGGAATAGCCTGCAGMGTGGCAAGGAAAGCTTCTCTGCGCACCCTATGCCTTTGAAAAGAACTGAAATGTCCTTTCAATCCAAATTSGGTATTTTGTTGGAAAAGCCTGGGTGGGCGCTTCAGGGAATAGGTGGAGACTGACCCAAAGCCCTCCAAGATCAGAGGCAGCAGTCAAAAATGACTTTCCCCCAGCAAACCCAAGGTCCCAGCTCGCAGTGGGACCCGTGATGGCCACCTGCCAGAGTCAGCTTTGTGCTCCCCCCTCCCCAGGCTGATACACCATTGTACCTGTATTGGAATCAAATTGCACTTTTTTATTATTGTTTTTAATTCTCATAAGTCCATGTTTGGAGAGAATGAGAACCGAGGATGAAATGAAGTGGATCAAGATGGTGGAACTAAAAGGAACAAAGCAGAAAACATTTCAAATATATTAAAGTGATTTTTTTTCCAGTAATATAAAACATGAAATTCCTTATAACATYATAGTATTTTACAGTTTTATGAAGCTTTCTATTGTGACTTTTATGGAATCAAAAGATGAAGATGATGAGATATTTTAGCATTTATATTTTTCAAAATTAAATGTATACTGAAAATAAAGTAACTTTATGCATTTAYGGGGGAGTTTGTGTGTTTTCCCTCATTATGTGCCCATTGTATTGTGTGATTGAATCGAGATCCCAGAATCAGTGTGGTGATACAAAGGGYCCCCCCCAACACTCAGGTGTTGGACCCACTGAAGCTTTGGGATACTTGGAGGAGCGGTTGGAATCCAGGGCATGGACAGAAGGTCTGGAGGTGGCACAGCATCTCTGTCCAACTCAGTTGCCTGTGCACAGCAAGGATGAGGCCAGTCTGCCTGGGCTTCTGCACAAAAGGCCCTGTTTTGTGGGCTTGTTCCTTGGTCAGGAATAACCAGTGGAACAGCAACCWTTGGAGCGTCTCTGGCTCCAGCGTTATGAGTGCACTCACTGTGTGCTCACTGCACCTCAGCAGCCACCCCGTCTCTGCAGGCTGGATCCCTGCTTGCACATCTGAGCTCCCCTGCAAAAGGGGGAGCTGGCCAGAGGGCAGCAGGTGAATGCTGAGCTGAGGGCTGCTTTTGGCATCTTTGCGCAGGTCCTGGGAATGGTAGCCCTGCGGGAATTTAAGATTATCTCCTTAATAAACAAACCATATAACCAAGGGGAGAAGAAATAGTTAGGAGCTCACTGGGATCAATCTAAATGGTTTCTCTGCGACTGTAACGTGGTCAAGGATGGGTACCACTCATCTGTTGGCTTGGAGAGCCATCTGTTGGCCACTCAGATCCTTGTTAGTCAGCTCTGSTGCCAATTGTGGCTTTGGAGCCGGTGCCATTAGCAGAGTACTGAGCTCCTCGGGGAGCCAGAATGTAGAAGAGCCCAGTAATGTAACCTGTCTAACCTTCAGGAGGCAGGCAATGGGCACGGGAAAAAAATGCAGCTGGTGGGGAACAGGGGGTGCAAAGTCCTCGTGGAGCCC